AACAAACAAACAGCATTCTTCTCCTGGGGCCCTGTGAGGCAGGGATGCAATCTCAGTCCAACTCTCTTCAATCTATATATCAATGAATTAGCAAACCAACTAGAGCGTTCCACGGCACCTGGCCTCACCCTGAACGACACAGAGATCAGAGGTCTGCTGTGGGCAGATGACTTAGCATTCACCTACTATAGAAGGTTTGCAGCAGCACCTTAACCTCCTGCAGAGATTCTGTCAGACCTGGGCCCTGACAGTAAACACAGAAAAGACTAAGATAATGATCTTTCAGAAACAATACAGAAATCAGGTTACACACAATTTCTATTTAGACACCAATAAATTACAAAATACTACATTACATTAATTCATTTAGCTGACACTTTTATCCAAAGCGACTTAAAGTTGCTATTTTATGTCAGAGGTCACTCGCCTCTGGAGCAACTAGGGGTTAAGCGTCTTGCTCAGGGACACATTAGTGGGTGTCACAGTAGGGAGTTGAACCCAGGTCTCTCACACCAAAGGCATGCGTCTTATCCACTGCACCATCACCACCCAAAAAACTCTACTCTTAACTAGGCCTCAACATTAAATACACAGGAAATATCAACAGGGCTTAGAAAGATCTGAGGGACAATGCAAGGAAAAGAAACATTAAAATCTATATTCCAGTTGAAATCGGCTTAAAATTTTCTAATTTGTACTAGAACCAATTATTCTATATGGCAGCGACATTTGGGGGCCAAAACTAAATACTTAATTTGACAAATGGGACAAAACAATCATAGAATCTTTCCATACCGAGTTCTGTAAGAGCATCCTGCAGGTGCAGAGAAAAACACCAAATAACCTGTGCAGAGCAGAGCTCGGCCAATACGGAAAAGATCAATTAAATTTTATAATCACTTAAAAAGTTAACCCCCAGACATACCATCACAAAGCCCTAACATACCAGGAACTGAAACCAGTCCCCTCAGCCTCAGGACAGCAACACCAACTCAAGCAGACCAAACCAAATTATCAACAAGCAGAAAGAAAAATATATTGAATACTGGAAAGAAACGATCCAAAACACAAGTAAATTTATCTGTAAGTTAAGTAAGTTACAAGTAATCTGACCCTAAAAGGAGAATTCACAGTGGCAAATTACTTGAGCACAATAAAATGTCCTAAACTAAGAAAAATGTTGACAACATACAGAATGAGTGAACACAGCCTGGCCATAGAAAAGACAGAGCTGGCCTCAGTCAATCACCCTGTCCCAGTGTGACAGTGTGATTATTATTTTATTTTATAGTGATTAATGAACTGTATAAAATAAATTATTCTTTTATAATTTATTTGTAGCTTTGGCAATATTGTTTTACATTCATGCCAATAAAGCTAGACTGAACTGAACTGAGTTGAATTACAGAGCATTTACATTTACATTTGTTGTTGTTGTTGTTGTTATGTTGGCCTAGTTTTATTGTGAGTAAAAAAAACATTTCCTCTAGCTCTGGGGCTTTCTAATCTTTTACTGCCTTTCTTGGGTTTAATTCTGTTTGATAAACCATCAGGGAAAGGTACATAGCTCTGCACTGTTTGTACCAGTGTAAATTAATATAAAAGTGAAATTGAGCCACTCAGTTTTTCTCTCTAGGACTCTCTCTCCACCCCAAGCCCCCCTCCCCGTTCTCTTGCTGGTTTTGTTGCTTTCTGCAATTGGTGTTTCCTTCTATTTCCTGTTGTCCTCACCCCCCATCCCCATTCTCTTGCAGGTGTTGCCCTCTCTCTGTGCTGTCTGTTTATGTGGTGTTTCTGTTCCCCATCCCCATGTCTGTCCCCTGTCTGGCCTGGTGACAAATAAATTAGAATAAATAACAATACAGACAAAGGAGTATATTAATACTCTCTTGTTAAAGTAAAATCTGTCTGGCACAATATGGTACCCAGCTCCTCATACTTATACCAGGCTGCCAGGCAGGACAGGTTAAAAAAAAAATAAATGAAATGAAAAGAAAAGAAAGACAGGTGGGCCACGTGACCCAGAAGTAATGGTAAACATGTTAAAATAAAAAGCCAAGCTTGTAAAACGGTCAGATCTGTAACATTGTAACATAGCTGATTATGCACTATAATATTGTGCATTTATTCAAACAGCAAGAGTCATGTTTTTTTAAGCGCATTGTTTGGTGCAGTACAGTTGGTAGGTTAATATAGGTAAACCCAAGAAAATATAGCTTCTCAGCACACAGCTCTGACAACAAACTCACATCAGAAGTGTCCTCTGGCCAAAAGAATGATTTACCAGTGTGCTTTATACTGTTTGAATCTTTCTTCTCCATACACATTCCAGTGTGTAACATACAACACTCCCATTGTATCATGCAAGTGAAGAGAATCCACAAAAGTTTTTCCATACAATATTTATTCAACATATATAGCACATCCATGCTTAAAAAGGCATTGAATGTACAATCTCATCTTCACCATGGATACACTAGTGGGTAAGGAGGGACATCTTATTCAATCCTGAGTGAGACAGGAAGCCTTCGAGCAAAACTTCGAGCACCGCACTGTATAGCATACATCCATGGCAATAATAAACATCATATAATATTATGTAATAATATAAATGTATGAGCTATGGCTGCAGAACTGACTGTGAAGACATAAGGTAACACTGGGAGGAGCTGCTCTCATAAAACATAGGAGGGAGGAAATGCTTGGTCAGGTCAAAGTTCAACTAAAAAGACGAAGTAGTCTTTTTTTGAATTTTTGAACTTTGTTTTTTGTTCGTATTTGTTAGCATACAATATCAGCCAGAACATTTTAAATATGGCCTCAGAGGCCTGACTGACGTCCTGAGAAGACATTCTCAGCGTTGACAGCCTGTCTTTAATAATGTAATTATTTATTTGTTTTGAGGACCTCGTAAAATGTTCTTACCTCATGGCTTCACAGTCAATGTTCTGCAGCCATAGATTGTACATTCAATGCCTCTGAAAGCATGTATGTGCTATATATGTTGAATAAATGTTGTATGGAAAGCCAGATGGTCTACATTAGGACACCATAACATCAAACTACAAATTGACTCCTCAACGATGACTCTAGGGGGTGGGGAGAAACTTGTGTGTCATGATTGATGACCAGCTGTTCTTTTCAGACCATGTTGCTGCTGTCTCTCTGTCATGCCGCTTTTCTCTATACAACATAATGAAAATCAGGCCCTACCTCACTCAGTACGCCACCCAGCTTCTGGTACAGGCCATGGTTATCTCTCGCATCGACTATTGCAATGCCCTCCTAGCAGGTCTTCCAGCTTGTGCGGTGAAACCCCTACAAATGGTTCAGAACGCAGCAACGCGTCTGGTTTTTGATCAGCCCAAAAGGACTCATGTCACTCCATTACTCAGTGACCTCCACTGGCTCCCCGTGGCCTCCAGAATCAAATTCAAGTCACTAATGCTTGAATACAGAGTGACTACTGGGTCTGTACCCATCTACCTAAACTCCATAATACAAGTTTACGTTCCTTCTCGGCCACTACGCTCCTCCAACGAACGCCGCCTGGCTCTGCCATCCCTTCACACAAAGCAATCCCGGTCCCGGCTATTCTCATCTGTGACACCACGATGGTGGAAGGAGCTACCACACGCCATCAGAGCAGGGGCGTCCCTCTCTAACTTCAAGAAGCTCTTGAAAACTCATCTCTTCCGAGAACACTTCCTCTTATAACACTAACTAACTCTAACTCCTAACCTCTAACATGCACTTCCTGTGCTCTTCTTCTTCTTTCCCCTACAATGATCTTGTATTGCACTTTTTGTTAACTCTTACTTCCTTCCCTAGGTATCTACCCCATTGATGTGATATGTACTGTGAGCTCTTACCAGTATTCATTGCTGCTCTTACTAGTATGTATTGTCAGTTTTATTATTATTATTATTGTCAGATCTGTATTTGATGCTTTGTTGATGCTTGTATGTTGTCCCTCAAATATAAGTCGCTTTGGATAAAAGCGTCTGCCAAATGAGTAAATGGAAATGGAAAGACTTGTATGGATTGTGGAGTGTGTATGTTACACACTGGAATGTGTATGGAGAAGAAAGATTCACACAGTATATAGCACACTGGTAAATTATTCTTCTACATTTGAACACTTCTTATGTGAGTTTGTTGTCAGAGCTGCTAGAAGCAGACAGCAGTGTTAGAAACAGGTTAGAACAGAAGGGCATGCAGGTTTAACTCTGGGCTGAGGGTGGATGATGAAGATGTTTGCAACTATGTTGCAAATAAAACATAAATATCAAAAACCAAATGAAATGACCAACAATAAATACATCTATATCAGTAATCTGGATTCAAAATGTTTAATAAAGACACCTTCGTTTAATACTGCCACCTGCTGGTAGAAAGGGGAAACGGTGGAAACCACATTAAATATTAATTTAATATTAAAAATATAGTGCTGACAGTAACAACTCTGCACACATATTAGTTTCTTGGGTATACCTATATTAACCTACCAACTTTACTGCACCAAACAATGCACTTAAAAAAACGTGACTCTTGCTGTTGCATAATCAACTACTGTTACTAACTTATTTCTCTCGGTCCAGGTTTATTTATTTTCATCTAACATCACCCTGGTATAATGTTAGTGCTGCATAATGTTACAGATCTGACCGTTTTACAAGCCTGGCTTTTATTTTAATATGTTTACTATCACTTCCGGGTCACCTGGTCCACCTGTCTTTATTTTCTCAACGTCTATCTTCAAACGGAGAAAGAAAAATAGGAATTTCAAAAAACCAAAATAGAACCATTATTTGAATTTGGTTTAGTCGTCAAACTATCAGAACGTACACGGACCGGACCACCACCATACCCGGACCCTTTACTGTGCACAATTTATTCAACCAGGATAACCAGAGTGAAATGGAGAAATTGATGGAATAGCTGTGATTTATAACAGTAGAGGGCAGCAATACGCCATTGTAGCGTCTAGTCTGCCTAATCCAAAGAAGAAGAAGATGAGCCGTAAATTATCCTTCTGGTTTCCATTACAATGCTAAAATCCTCTAGCCTGCTGTCCAGCCTAACGTTACTCTCGACATTTCAGTTCACGGTGGATATTATGTGTTCAACTGGACCCTCTCGCCTTTCTCAGTGAGTGAAGCTAGCATTGCGCGGTTGTTTTTTCCGGCACGAATGACGTGTCTGACATGAACTGTTACACAGCTTTAACTAAAGTTAACGTTAACAGATTTAGTGTAAATATTTAGCTTTAGTTAGCTTAACGTTAACGTTACTACTCCTGTTTGTAAACACAGACACAGTGATGGAAACGTGTTGCTTCCATTAGTAACTTAACGTTATGCATTTCTTACACTGTAAATGAGTGCCATTCAGAACATTCGTTTCTTAATTCGGGTTGGATGCTGCGTCTGAGAGTCACTGACCGAGGCCTTGTAATAGATGACAATTCCCTGTCAAGGTAGACCTTGTTGTGATTAGTTAACGGTAGCTGAAACAACTAACGTTAACGTTCTATAATATAACGTCGCTAGTAAACTTGTTAAAAGGTCGCTCCTAACATCAGCCATTGTACCATAAAGTCAACATTTTACATTTGTGATCACGATATTTAAGTTATACCAACATTTGAATTTTCCTAATAGGCTATTCCCTTGAAGCCGTTAGCTAGGGTCAGGGTGGCTCGGTCGGTCAGGGTGGCTCGGTCGGTCCGTATACGACCAAGGGAACGTTACACGTTAAAAAACGAATTCAGCACTATGACTTGTCCTTTCTTACAGACAAAACCAATTCATTACTCAATATTTCCTTTCATTGGTGGGTGGGACTTCATCAACCCCTTGCTTCTGATTGGATAGTGTGTTCTATCAGTTATGTTTGTGCTTCAGGCTACTATTCAAAATTTCAAAATTTTATGCTTAGTTGACAGTTTATTAGCAAAAACTAATTACATAATGCAATAAATCCTCCTTCATGATAAGAGATTAACAGTTTATGAGAGGTGGCGATTCAACTGTATGAACAGTTTGGAGCATGTAGTTTGTGGTGCTGTTAAACCGTAGCGTATTAAACAAGGTGTGTCTGTCATTTAGTCTCGCCTCACAGATTAAGCCTTAATCTGTCAGTAATATAAGTAAATACTGTGGACAGTAAAGTGTTCAAAATATTATAAAGATCAATGGCATCGAACCAACAGCAAGCACACAAGAAGGATTTAGAAAAAATGACCAGCAGGTGTTGCACTGCACCTCCCTCAGCTGTGATCACCTGGAGCCACTTGAGAAAACAGCTCTTTTGGACCTTTGTAGCCATAGACTATCATTTAGCACAATTATGTCTGAAGCTTCTATCATCCATACCATACCTGATGTGATTCTAAAAAATAGCCTTGATGTCAGATGCAAGCCAGTAACCATATCATATTTTATTATTAAGCTTAGTTCTGGTGTCACCAAATTTGCAATTAAAACAGCTGCTGTCTAAAGCAGAGGTTCAATGGGTAATCCAGAACGTCAAGGCACACCAACTCTAAATGTAAATAATGTAATTATTATAATAATTGTAGCCTACGTTGTCATAAGTGACTACACATATTTGTGTTTATTAAACTTGTACCTTGATTGAATCAGTGTTTCCCACAGGATTTCAAGAGACTATGGTGGGTGGGCCTCGGACCCTCTCGAGGGGTCTGGGGGCATGTCCTCCCGGATATAGATTTTGTAAATTTTTAAAGTTAAATGCATTAATTTGGTGCAAAATTAAGAGACTATCTATAAAGAACTTTGTACGCTTGTAAACAATGTTGTGCTCTAATAAACTATTGGGTCATAAACCCATTGTATGGCTATAAATGGTGATGAAACGGCAACAAAAGTCAACAAATTTATTTAATGTTTTTCCAAAAACCCTAACTCAAAGAATAGAAAACATAATAAGTTCCAGAGTCCAACCCAATTTGATAAATAATGTTATATGTGGTTCTTGTATCACGTAACCTGAAGACTTCCCAGCCTCTCTTCAGGTAGGACTGTCATACTGCAACACTTGTCTTTGTAAAGAGACAAACTGACAGGATAAAGTCTCTAACCTGCCTGTCAGCTCGCATCATAAAGGCTTTAATACGTGTGTCCTCCAAATGTAGGCGTGGCTAGCTTAATCACCGTCTCACAAACGAGTGACAGAAACAGGCCGTTAAGGTTACCGTGGTTAACGTTACCTAAAAAGAAAAGTGGTTGTCTCAAGTCGATTGCCTGAGTGTGCAAGTTTACAGTAGCGCGGTGCAGCAGCTCAAAACAAAATGTTAGAGGTCTGAAATGTAATTATGAGATGTGTAAAAATATTTTTGGTTCATTTTAAAACTATGGCGGGCCACCATGGTCTCATTAATTAATTAATTGGAAACACTGGTTGAATAAGTAAGAGACCAGTATATTAAAATGTGTTAGTCTGAGTTGATCATAAATTGGTTTATGACATGTGCCTTGATATGGAACCAGGTGCGATCAAAAAGTTTCCAGGAGTCCCGTTATTTAAGCTATTCCAACACCATCTGTAAAATGTGATGTGGCGCATTGCTGTCATAATAGCGGATGAATGGCACATTTTAAAAACATCAATTGACTGACTGAATAGCAGATTGACAGCAGAGAGGGGATATGGACATAAGTGTGCATGTGATATAAAAACTGTCTCATGAAGTCAAATGTTCCTCTGCAGCTCTGTGCTTTATCAGTGAAGCAGACTGGAGTCTGTTAACAGATGGACGCGGTCCTTACTGTACTACATTATTAGAAACGATGATGAACCGGTCGAGGGTCACATCTCTCCCCTGCAGTGGTTTAATTATCTTGTGTTTTATTGCGGAGTTTCTTTAATGATTTACTCTCATGATTAGAGAGGCTGCTGTCAGTCATTTAAAATGTTTCCATGTACACAATAAAGTGTATATATAAGCTCAGATCCATAAGCTTTGATCCAGAGGACAGGTGCTTTACTCCAAAGAGTTTCACTGTATGAACCTGGACTGTGTGTGAGATGTGTAAAAGAATACAAGGAACATCAATTAACATTAGATCCTGATCCTGGCGAGGGGGCATGTGTGTGTATATATAAAAAGATTTGCCCACTCGCCATTTTTAACTGCCCCCTCAGTCACTTCATCCTAGCGCTAGGCCTGGTCAGACCGTCTGAGATGTAACGTTCTGTGTCTGACGCTGAGGCTACATCAAATGACTTGAACTGTGACGTACTGGCATTTGGGTTCTCCATCATGATAATACGCACACTCACAGACTGGAGATAGTTTAATGCGCTTGCTACGGCAATACGGGAAAAATGGTCACAGGAGTGTACATATGTTAGTACATATGATTAAATTAAATATTAAAACTAACAAAAGCTGTTTGCTGTCTTGACACAGTGGAGGACATCATTTTTTATCACATGATGATCAAATGATAATCTATTGATAAAGATAATCTATCTACCATTTGAACGAATTGAAAAAAGACGAAAAAAGACAGAAACAAAACGCTTTTTTGCCAGCTGAAAACGCCACCTGCTCTTCTGAAAACGCCTAGTTAGGAGCGCTAGGGTGCGTTTTGGAGGCGCAGTGTTTTTTAGAGATGCTGTTGTTGCTATGATACATAATTTCCGTGGAGGCATTGTGTTGCAAGTAGGTTAGCCTACTTAATTTTACTGAATGTAAAAAAATGTCACCACAAAGTACGTAGGCCTACTTGCTCTGGCCCTTGCTCTGCATGAAGAGAAGGCTGAAACATGAGAGCACAGACGTGGGTTCATGAGATTTTGCAAGTGAGGAAACGCCTCGCTTCGTTCAAGATCGGATGTGCTTGGTGCGGTGTTTGACTCTGGCGTCAGAAAAAAACATATCAATACCAACTAGAACTTCAAGCAGTTGTAATTTGAACAGTTTTTCACGTGTCGATCTGGGGAGCAGAAGCCTGTATCAGCTTGGTCCAGAGATGGTCCGTGCCAAGTTTGGTGCTAACCGGACTTGCAGCTTCGGAGGAGTTAATTAAAATAAGTTTTCCAGTTGTCGCCATTTTTTGAAATGAAAACGGCATCGCACGGAGGTGGGTCATATACCATAGGAATTGGTAGTATCCCCCAAACACAGGTTTATGAATGTGCGATGTAGTGATGCGTACTTATGACGCAAAATGTGCTGTGTTCAGAATCCTATTTGAAATGAATGGGATTTTTCCACGGTATTTCAGCTTCGAATATAGCGCCACCTTTTGGCCGAATTGCTCCAAAGTTTTCAGGTGTGATCAGGGGCCCATGGGGAACAAATGGCCAAAATTCGGTATCTATCGGACCTGTGGTTCTGGAGGTTTTTTTTTACGTCCTTAATCTGCAATAATAGCGCCACCTATGGGCATATTATGTTCAACTTTGGTCCCTGGACTCAGGGGGGACCGTCCTGAACAATTCAGCTTAACTTTCATATCAATGTGACTTGTGGTTATAGAAGAACTAAATTGTAGTTTTAAATAGTGCCACCTAGAGGCTAATTGCAACAGATTTTGTACAGCCCGTCGGGGATGTGTGCCACATAAGGTTCTGAAGTTTGGTGTTGATCGGCTTTGCCAAATCTAACATATGACATCACTTCCTGTTTTGGCAAACATTTGTTAGCTTGTAATTGGAACAGTTTTTTCACGCATCGTATGTGAGAAGCACAAGCCTGTATCAGCTTTGTCCAGAGATGGTCCAAGTTTAGTGCCGATCGGACTTGCGACTTCAGAGGAGTTAATCCAAATAGGTTTTTCAGTTTTCGTAATTTAGCGAAATGAAAACGTGAAAATCATATAAAGGCGTGTACTATACCATAAGAATCGGTAGTATCCCCCAAACATGTAGACATAAAGTTTATGAATGTGAGATGTAGTTATGAGGCTAAATGTGCGTTGTTTCCCATTGAAATGAATGGGATTTTCCCACTGTATTTGAGCATGGATTATAGCGTCACCTTTTGGCCGAAGTGCACAACATTTTTCAGGTGTGAATGCACACAGTGAGGAAAGTATAAACAGCATTAAAAAAACGAAACAACAGACATGGGCACATTTTGATTCTGAATTTCGGTTTTGATTACTTTTCAACTAATCATCCAGCACTACTATTAGGGCAGACATCTTGTTTATATCAAAGCATGACTCTGTGGATGCGAATGGGCACTGGGCAGCTGCCAACTACCATGAACCCTTAGTGAAGCAAGGGTTGTAAGTTGCAACAAGTATTAACAATAATGGAAAGCTGAGGGTTATCAGTTGCAGAAATAACAATGAACATAGGCCAATGTGTAGTTCTATTAACAAAACTCACTCATTAGATAATATTATTAACAGTGAGTACACAAAAGGTGGTCCGCATCATCTCAAGCACACTTGTCTTCCAAAACCATTGTCAAGGTTATGTAGCCTACTGTATCAGCTTAAATGCATGAGCAAGCATCCAGTAACTGCTACTTCTACTACTGTACAGACAGACACACACACACACACACACACAGTATCCTGCATTCATTGATCCACCACATCAACGTTATTTAAGTTAATTAGTAATAGATGCAATTTAATATATCAACAATGCTGTTACAGTGCCGTTATTGATGACGTATATGCTGCTTTCACTCACCAGGTAACACTATGATAGCATCAGCCTCATCGGGCTCGTTTTCTGTAACGTTAGTTTCTGTAACGTTCACGTCACAGCTGCGGTGTCACCCGGAGCTGCAGCAACTTCAGCTGCAGGCTTACAAAAACACTACAAGAGTGTAGCTTGAGTTTGCTCGCGTTGCACATTATCATTATCACACTCCCTTTAGTGATTCATATTACACAGCTGTGTTGTTGTTTGGTAGGTGGTCGGATCCAGGCCACAGAAGCCCAAAAAGTCAGTTCAGTGCTTCGCAACACAGACGGGGTGAACATGTGAAAGTTCTGTCACAAAACCTTATTGTTATGTATCATCTCGCTATTTTAAGTGGGTTATCAGAAATCTTTTACCGTTCCTAGTGGGTATACGCCGTAGACCTGCGTATCACGTAGACTACACCACTGCTCTGATCCCAGTTAAGAATCAATGATTTAATTTAATTGTAGAACTATACAGTGTTTGTGTTGCTTACTAAAACACTGCCTGTCTTCTTTTTCTGTAGGTGCTGGTGACTGTGTGATAAATATGTTCCCTTGCAGATTTTTACTCTAATCGCTACCCGGTGACAGGACCTTATATCTTTTGCCACCGCCTGACTATTCCAGTCTGCCCATGCTATAATACAGTCAGTGATGCTGGATGCTGCTAAATAACAAGCATTTTGGGGGGTGGGGTTGGTGGGTGGTGGTGGTGGTTGAGGACTCTAACTAAACTCATCAAAAGACTGCCATGTTTGTGTTTAGAATGAGAAACTGAGCCAGGAGGAAGTGGAAAGCAAGTGAGCCTGAAGGGGCTGAAGTGCTTGTGTTGGTGATATAAAAGAAAAGCCATCCTATCAGTAGGTTGGCAGCACCTGAGGCAGCCAGGCCCTGAGGATGACTAGCCTGTTCAGGCGCAGCAGCAATGGAGGCTCCAGAAGTAGTGGAAGTGGTGGTGGGGGCGGTGGCAGTGGGCAGGGGCAGCTCAACAACAGCAGGCCCAACCGGCAGGTTCGACGACTGGAGTTCAACCAGGCCATGGAGGACTTCAAAACCATGTTTCCCTCTATGGACTATGAGGTGATTGAGTGTGTGCTGCGCTCCAACAACGGAGCTGTGGATGCCACCATCGACCAGCTGCTCCAGATGAGCATTGACGGACAGGATTCAGATGACAGCTCAGACTCAGATGACAGCATCCCACCAGAGGTCAGTGGAAGAGGTCCAACGGCACCACCATCACTGGGGAGTCTAATGCATGGTTTTTGGTGCTTAATCACACATTGGTGCTTAATCACACATTGGGAACATGTGATTGGTACACATGTGACAAGAAGTTGCTGTATGCAAAGACCTAATGAAAAACATTTAGATTTCTGCAGATTAGGACAGGTTGATGTTATTTTAGATGTTTTAGAGAAGGAAAGAGATGACACGAGAAGAACACACACTATTGACAATGACAGGAAAGATTGCTGCAGAACTGTAAAATTCAGTCTTTGTACCAAAATAAATAAAAGATCATAGGGTGGTCTAAATTCAGCATGTTAAATTTGACTCTGGCCTAAACTTCAGATAACTGACTAATTCTCTACTTACATGTGTGATGTATCCATCTTACGAACTGCATGCATGCTTACTTCCTGTCAGCTTTACAGTACCGTTAACTTAAACGCCAATCTTCTTACAGTGCTGTTTAATCTTATTTAAGCCACTTTTCACAGTTAGCTTTGTATATACTATTATAGTATTTACTGTTAGTTTTTAATTATAGTGTTTTTGATCATTCCGATGCCTAATCACCTTAATGTCTTTAGAACATGAGCTAGCTTAGCTGCTACTTAAATGAAGAAAAGCAGAATCAAACAATGAGGGCTGTCAGCTCTATGGAGTTTTGCCAAGTTCCTCTCTGTGAGCTTTCATTTCAACTAATGCTGAGATAAGGGCAAAATGGGCAGTTTAACATTAGAAGGGAAAAGTTCACCATCACCAATCGGCCATTTTGGCCACACACAGGAGGACAGCTGAGAACAAACACCAGCCATAGGCTCATGCAGCCTATTGTTACTCTACACTTCTGTGGTTTATCAGTTAAGTGTGCTGATTTGCACTGAAGACTATATTAGTAAAAACGGACATAGATCTGTATTAAATGCTTGTCTCCTTTACGAAACGTCATTTTAGTAGCTAGCTAGGTTAGCTAACCGGCTAAGCTAGCTCGCTTTATAAAAACACTGAGGAACATAAAAACGAACGGTACATACTATTAATATGTACAAAGCTAACTGTGAAAAGTGAAACAGCCTTGTAAGGATATTGGTGTTGAAGCAAATGTTACAGTATAGCTGACAGTAAGTAAGCACACATGCAGTTTGTAAAAATTGTAAGTGCAGGTTGAAAATATTTAATGAAACTAAGTTTGTGTTGTACTGTCTTTTTTTATTACTAGATTCTGGAGCGAACACTGGAGCCTGACAGTTCAGATGAGGAACCACCTCCAGTCTACTCTCCACCATCTTATGATATGCACATTTATGACAGGAAATACCCAGAATCCCCACCAACACCCCTGCCAAGGTAAGAGAGAGGGACTGAACTCTCGCATAAAAGAAGCTGAGGTCATTATTATTCAATTATCAAATTAAGAGACAACAATTTTTTAATTTGTTTTCCTTTATTTAGCAGTCTGTGTGCCTCTGATTTTATTAAATTAATGGAAGGTTTGTAGTTGGAAAACGTATAATGTAGCCCTTCTACAAGGTGTAGTGTTTGATAGAGCTGCTTTTGGTTTAGGCCAGTAACAATCCTTCTGACAATCTTACTTATTTTGGACACTTAAACCTGCAATGCAGAACTTTTGTCTCTTGCCTTTGTGGCAGTGAGAATAATTACTGTCGATGCATACTTATGATGTATGCCTACAGGTGAGCTCGCCCCAGGCTTGTGTTGAGAAATAGTTACAAAAATACAGAGAAACTTCCACAGTAACGGTTATCCATTACTTAGGTAGAGTTAATGTAATAGCTACATTACAGTCTACTCCAAAGACTTGTCCAAGAGCATTAATCCCATCAGGCTAGAGGTGACTCGTTTCCACAGCAGTGTGTAAAGTTAATAGGCGCCGTTGAAAAAGCATATTAGGAGTCAGCTGTTAATTTTTCCGATAAGTACATTTTGTTTTAAGCCTGTTTTTAACTAGCCAAAATCAGCATCAGTTAAAATAACCGTTAAAGTGAATTACGGATGCACCTTGCTAACCAAGCTAGCTAGCGCCACCATCTCATCCAACCTGCATATATCGCTCAAGCATATTAACATAAATACTGGCCTAGGAACTTGGAGCCCAGGCTTGAAAACTGGTTACTTAAATCTATCTGTCCATCTAGAACCTTCATAAAATATTATCTGGTGTCACAAAAATCAGTGAATAAAGTTAGAAAAGTTGGGTGTTTTTTGTAGGGTCAGTGAGGAGATTTGCCAGGCTAAGCATATCTAGTATATAACCGGCCCCTAGAAACACTTGTTTTTCCAACCTAATTCTTGTCTCATTTGTGGTCTGATAACAGTAAATTCATCAGATTTAATGCCCTGTATCACTATTATCCAAGAGAAGTTAAAGCTGTCATATTCATAGCAGAATTGTAGAATTACAGAATAATCAATAGTAATTGAGATGTATCACAACAGGAAAGTTGATGATGTTTGCTTAAATGCAGTTGGTGGAATTTCTAATGTGTGCTGTTACTCCATGCATTCTCAAAGATTTGAAGCAGAGGCAGGTCACCAGCAAGTCAGAAGTTACCGGAACTGGAACCCTCCTTTGCTTGGAAATCTCCCAGATGATTTTCTGCGGATCCTGCCACAGCAGTCAGACAGTATAAAGGTAAAAATATCAGCATGCTGATGTTAAAGGGGGGCGTTTGGTTTCTTGTATTTTTTTGACACAATTGTAGTGTAAAGCAGTAGTCAAGCCAGAAATCTGATAGATGGGCCTCACCAGGCACTTGCAGACATGGGGTGCTTCTCAGGTTTCTTCATTGAATCCACGATTCCCTCACTTGCGTCTTTTCCTTGCGTAGGAAACTAAGCGAGAAGAGAAGGAACAAGGAAATATGTTTTTAAAGAAATGAGACATCCTTTCTTCCGAAGCATCACATGACGCGACATCCGTTTCTGATGACGGCGACAGCTGATCACAGCTGGATCAGCTGTCAGTCGGCTTTAACAGCAAGAGATATACTGATGCTAATAAATAGTACTTATACTAATAAAGTCTCATCATGATCAGTGCAGAGCAGCATGATTTTCTCTGTAGCTGTTACCTGTTTAACAAACACCGGCACATGAATAATTATAGGTTACTGTAGGTCTATGTCCTGCTGAGAGGCATAGGATCATTTCTACTGGCACAATGTTTGTTATCTGCATTTATATTTATTGATTCTGATTGTGAATTTGTATTTGAATAACCCAGAATATGATTATGGTGTCCTTGGATTCATTAGGCTAAATGTTTAAGAGAAATTGAAATGATGTAACTCATATCAAAGTCGATGCTCAGTTTTAGGCTTTCCGTTTATTTCCTCGTCTGATATCCTTTAACACTACTGCATACATTTTATTTGCTAGTCACATCACTCGTCACTGATCAATCACAGCCTTCCATCATATCAGTCCAATGATTTTTTTATTTTTAGTGCAGCAGCTTTCATTCATACTTTCATCGGCTGATTTTACTTGCAGAGCCGCCGACTGCTTTCGTCATATGCGGTCGGTGAGGTGGCTGGATGAGCTGTTTTATTTTCCTTTCCTTGCTTCATTAGAGACTGTAGTGCAGTTTAGTGAATTGTCCGACTGCCTGGGGCTACATGTTTACTATGTTTTATTGTCGTTTATTTGGACTAAACAGGAATGACCAGCCTCACATGTGACTAAATAGAAATGATGATGAATTATGTAAACATGTTTCTTGCTAACAGACTCTTCGACTCTCTCTGACTTTAATTCTCTCCATAATAAAAGTTGATGGGAGAAATAAAAGAAAGAAAAATCTTTCTAATAAAAGAAGAAAGTTGTGTGGGGCTTTTGTTGTTCAGACCTACAATGAACTCAGTCAGTGAATGATCAATGAATCATAAAACAAAGCAAATAAGACTTTGCAGTGATGCACTTGATTTAAATGTTAGCTGTGTTGATGCATAAGATCAGTCCGATCAGCTGCAGTGTCCAATCAATATAATGGCTACTCAATAAGGGGGCGTATCGGTCAGTAAAAGACTTCTGCAAAGGATGCACTGGTGTATCCTCGCTCATAGCTCCTCAGAGATCGCTCCTTGCTCCTCGATCCTAGGAGCGCAAATAAGAGCTTTGGGACAGTCTGCAAGATGGCAGAGTCGAATAACTTCCGGTTCAAGCGAGGAGTGATCATAGACAGTATATTACTTACCCCGCTGATTTGAATGGAGAACAGTGAAGCCAGTTTTGGACCAATAAAATACTACTACAGGGCTACTTCCTGTTGGCACCAGCATCTACTGCGCATGGTCGCGCAGCATAAAGTAAAAGAAATATCATTTAAATTCTTCACCATTATTACCCCTGTAATGAGATTATCTCGAAATTTATCCCTACTGTAGACGAAAAATGCTCCTTCTGCTCACAGAAACGTTGGACCATTTATTTTATTGCTATTCACATAGCTCTTCTCTGTGGAATGATATGCAATGCTTTGTTAATGGACACTTTGGCTCAAACATACACTTATCCAATTTTGACATTATCTTTTATTTTTCTGATTCAATCTCCTCTGTACAACATATAGTCAATCTATTAATTTTGCTTGGAAAATTCTTTATTCATAAATCAAAATTTATGAATTCAATTCAATTTTATTTATATAGCGCCAAATCACAACAACAGTTATCTCACAGCGCTTTTCATAAAAGAGCAGGTCTAGACCGTACTCTGTGATGTTATTTACAGAAGCCCAACAGTTCCCACCAAGAGCAAGCACTAGGCGACAGAGGCAAGGAAAAACTTCCTTTTAAGAGGCAGAAACCTCGAGCAGAACCATGGCTCAGGGTGGGCGGCCATCTGCCTCGACCGGTTGGGGTGAGAGAGAGAGAGAGAGAGAGAGATGTAAGGAGAGAGAGAGAGAGATGTAAGGAGAGAGAGATGTAAGGAGAGAGAGAGAGGGGAGGGAGGCAGCCTACACAATATACACACAGAGGTACACACAGTGAAGGTAATGCTGCTATAGACCAAATGAAAAATGGTACAGATATTTATAATAGTGTTAATGGTAACCATCGTAATGTTAATGATTATAATAACAATAATAACAATAAGACTAGCAACAATAGTCGTTGTAGCAGAGGGTGTCGAGCAGGAACACGGGGGCAGCAGGTGACCCGCAACCACAGATCCAGACTCCACAGCTCCAGAGCCAGAAAACCTGCAGGAAGTGATAGGAGAGAGGAGAGAGACGAGAAAGCACAAGACTACCAGAAAGGGGAGAAGTTGTGTTAGTAACATGCAATAATGGGATAAGGTTGCATACAGAGGGAGAGAAAGTAGAGGAGAGAGGAGCTCAGTGCATCATGGGAAATCCCCCGGCAGTCTAGGCCTATAGCAGCATAACTAAGGGATGGTTCAGGACTACCTGAGCCAGCCCTAACTATAAGCTTTATCAAAGAGGAAAGTCTTAAGCCTACTCTTAAATGTGGAGATGGTGTCTGCCTCCTGAACCCAAACTGGAACCTGGTTCCACAGGAGAGGAGCTTGATAGCTGAACGCTCTGGCTCCTAGTCTACTTTTGGAGACTCTAGGAACCACAAGTAACCCTGCATTCTGGGAGCGCAGTGCTCTGGTGGGGTAGTAAGGTACTATGAGCTCTTTAAGATAAGATGGTGCCTGACCACTAAGAGCTTTGTAGGTAAGAAGAATGATTTTAAATTCTATTCTGGATTTTACTGGAAGCCAATGCAAAGAAGCTAAAACAGATCACATGAAGAACAAACCTCTTTTCAATGTTTTTAAATTTGACCTAAAAAATTATATAGTCTGTATTTCTGGATTAAAGGGTAAATCAGCATCAGAATGTTTACAACATTTATCTAATTTAACTTTATAATTAATTTAACTGATTTATTGTTTGATACTCTGGCTGTGTACTTTATTTTTTGTTTATAACTGTGTTCTATTATTTATTTTTTTTTACTGTTTTTGTTCTTTCTTCTTTATGAAAACGTGAACTGTAACTATATAATTTCTGTAATAAAAAAATAAAAAATAACCATGGTTTAATGACGTAGAACAACGGCAGAAACACCGTAATTCTGGTAGCTGCATAGCTGCGCCAACAACAAGTCTCATGGCTCAGTGTGTTTGTCTGACTCGGATTGTCACTGATTAATCAGCCCACCTACAAGGCTCACCTGTCAAACACCAACGCAGTGCCACTGATCGGCAAATAGTTTAGATTGCCGAGAGTTTATAATCTAAGCAATACGGTTACATCTCTCATGTGCGACGGGGTGTCACGGGGTTTTGACGTAATCTTTGGGCCTACATGGATCCCTCCTTGCGGGCTTTGGTCGGCTTCACTGTCCGATCTCTCACTTACCCTAATAAGAGACTTGAGAACAAGGTTATTATCGTAAACGAAGACGAATGAAACAACGAAAACTAGATGAAAAAAAGATTCTCGTTAACTGAAATAAAAATAAAAACGATGCTTTACAAAAAAACGATAACTAACTAAAACTATATTGTAAGTTTGCAAAACTAACTAAAATGAAAGGGTAAAAGTCCTTAGTTTTTGTCTATTTATTTATTTCATAGGACCGAAGCCTAAGTTAGTCTCTTGCCGGACCGGCAGTGATTAGAAAATTAGAAAAGTCGATAGGCACCTGCTGGTGAGCCGCGGGTGTGTTATGCTTTGCTCCTCCGCGTGAAGAGCTGACCGTGTGGCTGACCTGCCACAATTGCTTTATCCATCAAGAGAGCCGGGGTGAGGACGGCGTCTGGCCGCAGCGTAGCAGCTGGCAACCGCTGTTACGACGAGAACCCCATGTAACGTTATGGGGAGGCTAACATTGCCAGGAGACCCAGGTAGGGATCGTCTGCGTAGTTGGTGGGATTTGAACATGTTTCCTATAATCTTTTATACATCGCCTGTGTACATGTGTACAAAATAATATGAATGCAACAACTATACAGAGCTTTTTTTAGTTTGGGTTGGGTTGCAGGTAGTGAGTCACTGTCTTGGTGGTTTTCTTTTCCTTGTTCTGTTCTGATGGTCTGGCTTAGTGCTCATCCTGTGTGTGGGATAAAGTTGCTCCTTGCCCATTGATTGTGAGCTCCCCTTGCCCTGGATTAACTGTCTGCTGGTCATTAATACTGTACTGTATTACTGCATGTCAGCCAGTGTGTGTGTTTTATGGGCTCATTCATATCTCAGCCAACCTGTCTCTTTGTGCTTTTAACATAGAATCTATTTTTTGATTATATAGGTTTACATTTTAAAATAGCCTAACTGCTTTCCAGTCATACTTACCTTCAGTGTGCTAGGGACCTGTTGTTGTTTTTTGCTCTTAGAGTTTGTGAATAAACTAAACTAAACTGAACTGAGCTTGGCATCATGCAGCTACAAAGACTAAAACTAACACTTAAACTAATAAAAACTAAACTAAAACTAAGCATTTTCAAAAAATAAAAACTAAACTAGCAAATTCACGTTAAAAACTAATTAAAACTAAACTGAAATTTAATACAAAAAGTCAAAACAAAATAAATGAAACGAATGAAAAATCCAAAACTATAACCTTGCTTGAGTAGCACCCATGGACATCAGAATCAGCTTTATTGCTAGATTTGTGTACA